ATTTGAGTTTGTTTTCCCCTAGGTCCTTTCTATGCATCTTCCATGATTCTAGAGGCAATGTTATCAAATTAATATATTGGGTATTTGATCTTATATGCTTAAATAATTTATGGATTCCTAGATATGAGGCTACCCTTGCTGACAAGTTCACTTGTCTATGAAAAGAGCCTCTAAAAATTACTGGATTTACATAGTTTTTCTTAGTTTATATAGTTTTAAATAGATTTATATAGTTGCTTATGGAAAGACTGAAGGGTATAATGCATTTTCCTGAATTCCTTCTTTAATACTTCATAGTTGAAGGGATTACTATGATTTCTCACTGGGGAGTCACACAGAGATGGAGTAGAGCCTAGGAAACCTATGGGTTTCGCATGGGTATGTTCCCAGTTACTCTGAGCAAGAGGGGTTTCCAGACACCCAGGCTGATGTTCTCTTTAATGAATCTTCAGATTAATTATGATCACAGTTGGACCATATTAACTTCATTGTAAAATACATGTCTGTGCTATGTACTGTACTTAACAGGAAAAACAAGAGCGTTATCTTCTCACCAGTTTTTCTAGTGATACGTGGTAAACAAGACAGACAGTATAGTGAGTCCTGTGGGGCTGGTGACAAAAATGTAAACAGAAAAATTAAACTGCCAATTCAGAGAGCAGTATGCATTGTGAAGGAAATATATTATAATGGAATAGGAAGCAACAGGAGTGCTGAAAGCTAATTGTGAAAAGATGGTCAGGAACGGCCTTGGAAGGATGCGAGGGATCAACTTATGTGTAAATCTGCAGGAAACACATTTTAGGCAGAGGGAAGAGCGTAATTTTATCTCTCTTTAAGATTATCCTGGCATCATTAGTGACAACAAAGGGCATTGTTGAAATAAATAGACAAGCATTATTTAAACAGGCCAAAGAGAATGTACAAAATAATTTTAAGAGTATTTTCTTGCTGTATTGAGTCCATACATTTAATTTTACTCACATTAAAATTGAAAATAAAAACAAGAAAGGGATCACATCATTCTAGAAGAAAAAGGAATGAATAGGAACACTGCGGACAAGAACAGAAATATTAACTTTCAATTTCCATCTTCTCTCTGAAGAAAAACAAAGTTATAGGACAAGAATACACTTTGTAGATCAGATTGCTGAAGCTATACACAATCTTAACTGGGTGAAAAAGAGTTGCAAAGCTATTAAGAGATTCACTGAGAATACATTCAGTCACTAGACTTTGTGAATTAGAAACAACAAAGCTGAACAATAAATACATACAATTCAAGAATAAATATTATCTGTAAATAAAGCAAGAGAAAGCTGTGTTTTATAGGGACTGCCGCTAGGCCATGAAGGAAAGCCACGCCACATTAATATTAGGTCATGGTCTCATGACCAACTCTGCCAGAATAGCGAATGGCAGTACAAGCAGTGTTTTTAACAAAATATGTGATTAGTTCTAATGCTGTACTTATGAGAAAGATTTCAAAATAACTTGTTGATCAATAGTCATTGATGACTGTGTCAGTGATGTATTGACAGAGATTTTGATTTTTTTCAGCATCAAAATAAGCATGTTGTGGCAGAGTATCCTACGGCCTGCCCTTTTTGGGAATGTGTAATCCTGTCACATCTGATTCCTTGACGAATAATCAGGAGAAATATACATTATCAAATTAAAATTATGAAATAAACATAATATTATAGGATCTATAATTGGGGAAGAGGTAAAATACTTGATATTTTTTTTCAGGTTAACCTATTGGATAAACTTGGCAGAAGGACATAGAACTAGCTATATACATAGCCTGAGTCAAGATTGTTTTGCTCCTGCCTGTAAACGTAGACTGCAATAGTTATAGAATGGTTGGCACTGCTGCCAGGAGGGGGAGAGGCCATAGACAGCTACAGAGACAGCGAGGGGAGAGGGAATAAGCAAAGAACGTGATGTCTTTTCTTACAAGAAAGCAACTCTAGGTACTGGATATGCTTAACTTGTAGAAATAAGAAATATTATTAAAAATACCATGGTTACTTTATATAAATTCTTGGAATTCATCAGACAAATTTAAAGATGACTGATGGTGGTGCAAAGAGTTTACAAGCTGTTCAGTCATAACTATTTGCTCTTTCCACTTTATAGTTTTGAGATCTTGGGAAAATTGCTTAATCTCTAAGACTTATTTGATGATCTTTGAAATAGAAATAGAACGTATTTCATTGTGTTGTGTCTCAGATTAAGTCACATAATAAACAGAAAACTATTTTGACATCATTTACAAGACTGGCAACTGTGCCATATTTTATTATATTGTCATATAGTTAAAATATCTGATTATCAGAAAAATTCAACTTTCAAAGATGTGAATAGATTAATAGACAAATTTCATTGGTATAATGTAAAATGGAATATTTAATATTTAAAGAAGATATTATTTTATAAATAGCTAATTCAGCCATGCATATTTTTCTCTTGGGAGGGCTTTTTATTCTTACTAGCACTGCAATGACAGAGTCTTAAGTAACAAATACTTAGAAAGACGTAACTATTCATATCTCATACAAGGCAACAAAAAATATTATTTTGAACAATAGCAAAACATTTAAATTATAAAAGAGTTTGGTAATGCTAGAGATTATTAGGAAATACATGTGACAGACCATCATCAACTCGAAGGGATAATATAAACTGCAACGTGGCTGTGTTTTCTTCACTCATAGATTAACTACTTTTGTATGTCATTATAAATAATTTATAAGTTCACTGACAAATACAATCTTGATACTAACTCAATTTTGTCTTTTGAAAAGATGCCTTTATGTTCTACCTCATAAAGTTCAAAAGAATCATGCAGAGGAATCTGAAGTTTATTAAACTGATACAGTCATCCTGAGTAGGAAGATTAGCGATTATGTAGTACTGAAGTCACTGTTCACTAGTAAGGTCGTGCAATTTCATTTATCCCAAGGAACTCCTGCCTCCAAAATTTGGGTTCAGATGTAGAAGATTTAGTGAAAATCAGGGCTTCATCAATGCATAGGAATTTATTAAATCTTCCTCTGTGGCTTATGGCATAATCCGCTTTTGTCACTGTTCCTGTATGCTGAAAGCAGCACAGTGTGTCTGTGAATCCCTTTTGATCCATTTTGTATCATTCTCTACAATTTCCACTTTCCATATCATTCTGCTTTGCCTCTGTTTCTATTGTTTTTGCTAGAATAGTACAAAAGTCCCTCAAATATTCTTAATTCATGGGTAAAATAATCTTTAAGGGTCATAGCATTGACCAATTTTGTTGTTTGTTAAGTCTTGAACCGTTTGTCCCTGCCTATTGAATAACACTCAGTATCTCTGGCTCAGTGAGTAGCGCACAGCATAGATTGCATTGAATGTATTTTATTTTTGTTTGGTTTTCCTCTATTTCGTACCTTTGCAACAAAGATACCCAATCACGTTGTCCTCAAATTGCCTTTCTTCATGGTGCAATTCAAAGTCTGCACTGCTAGGAACCTTTCATTTCGTTTCCCTTTTACATTACTAAGTAGCTCTCCTAATTTAAATGATTTTCCTCTCATTTACTTTAGTATTTTATAATTCTATATTTAATATTTAAGAGCTTCTTATAAAGACAAACCATTCAAATTTTATAAGCAAGAGTTACATAAGAGAAATAGGTATTTCTACTTCCTTCAAGAAAAACCCCATGGGTCGGGATGGCAGGTTGGGTCAGGTCCCCCACAAGGAAGGCCCGCCATCTAGTGGCATTTCCACCACACTGCAGGGCTCATCTCAGACTTGAAGTCTGAAAATTCCTCTTCTCATGTTGCTCAGCGAAGATGTCAAATATAGATTTTTAAAATATTTCTGATAGGGTGCTCAAAGAAGATACATTGTATATTGATTGTGTTTTTGCATAGCATTAAATATTTTACTCGAATTAATTTAGGGTTGATTTTTGGACATATTTTGGAGAAATCGATGCATCTGAAATTTTTATTCATAAAAATAAAAATCAGTGATATGAATACATTCATTCTCAAAGAAGACTTTTAGAGGAGTGCTTGAAAATTGTATATACATCTGATAAAGTGTGAAAGGTGTGTATTCTCCTGAGATGACAGTGTATTCAACAGAGTGATAATTAAAATAATGAATATTAGCTAGTGGGAGAAACATAACCTTTGGAGCCAAAGGGTTTGTGATTTGGACCATGACACCAAGTCACTCAGGCTGACCATTTTCACACCCAGATATGTGGAGATAACATTTATCTTTGTTGTTAATATAAGATATTGCATATGTATTTAACATATGTATATTTAATTACATTGTTGCAGCTGCCTCAATGTCCTGAACTGAGTGAAAATGTTCACTGTTTGGCGTCTTTTTGACTTTGAGAAGAACCAGAAGCTGCACAGTGTCAGGTCTGATGAACGAAGTGGATGAGGACACTGCAGTGTTTTTATAACCTTGCCTTTCCACTGGATGGCACTCAGTAGCAGCAGTCATAATATTTTGGACCACACATTGCAAAGACACAAAAGAGGACTCCCAGAAGTGCTTCAAAAGTGGGACGAAGGGGTAGGATGTGCTTGAAGATAGGGGATGAATTTTCAGGGGGATTAAAAGCAATATATCTTTTATGGTAATTAAAAAAATAACCATTCACTCTATATTTTTATTGCCCCTTGTACAGGTGCTTGACCTATAGTAAGAACTCAGGAAATAAATGGTAGTTTTGTTTCTAATTATCACTGTCCTTCTGTTCTTGAGGATGTGTAGAGAGATGTGCATTTGATTTCAAATTTAAAAACTTATTTCTAGTTTCTTAATTAGTTTCTTTCTCACAGCATAGATTGCATGGGTAGATACCATTACATACCCATTAAAAGAGTAAATATGTGAGCAAAACTCATAAAATAAATTATCAACGTCATAAATTCTTCTGTCATAAATTCACATTTAAAAAGTATTCACAAAGAGTAAATGTCCATACTTACAGCTTTCCAGTTGCATTATACATGTTTGCACATCCATTGGAAAATTCTTCAGATCCATTGGGCAGGAAAGTGTTAATGTTAATCTGAAAGAATTCCAAGTAAATATTTTTAAAGAAAATTTATGACATATTACTGCTCAGTTGTTTAGGGAAAACCGTGTTGCTGTGGTAGGTGACTAACACGTTTGTTTGTACATCTGATCACTTAATTTATATTTAAATTCCAGTGGACTAGGCCCTCAGAGGAGAGCTCAGCCCTTCGGAACGAGTCAGTTAAGAGACAGTTTGAGGGTGTTTTCCATAGAATGAATACGGAACATCACAAGATTCATTTTCCCTAAATCACATTAACAGACTATTTAAGAGGAAAGTACAGAAGGGGAATTGGAGCTCTAAATGTAGGCTAGCAGGGTGCAGAGACACAATGCTATGTGGCAACTTTCAGTCCTGTCTCTAAGTGACTGAGGAAGTAGTCGGTGAACTCCTAGCCGCCTTTAGTGGAGGGAGCTGGAGAACTTGCAAATGTGTTCAGTAAGGTCGAGTTCCCTGCTGGGTGGGCAGGGCCTTTCACTAGGTATCATTAGGGTGAGGAAATGAATTCTCTAGTATCAGAGATGTAATTCCGTGCTGATCAAACAGATTTCTGATTTTGCTCATATAAAGCCCAACCTAGATAGTAGATAGCACCCTTCTATCTATTGCAAAGGCTTTCCCCCCATTTTGGAAGAGTATTCATACATTGTTATTCCAGATAACTGATCATTCTGGAAATACTTTTTCTTTCCCTCATTGAGTTTGTTGGTACATTTTAGGTATGCAGTACAGTTACATTCATTACCGGGATCTTGTACCTCTACATGACAGGTCTTGGTTCTCATTTTTCCCCTTGTCCCTGCCCTCCTTTCACTCCTCCTCCCTTCCCTATTTACAAAATCTTTATTTCCATTTTTTCATTTTCTCATTTTTTTTTCTTTTCCCGTATTTCCCCTCCCCTCCCCTTCCCCATACCTTTAGACCTTTTCTTCCTATTTCGCATTGTGAATTATACCATTGCTATCTTATTGATAACTATAGTTTTTCACACCAGAGGAACTATTCGGCATTTACACATGTGTCATTTATTTATGTCACTTAAGAGTATGACCTCCTTGAGATACTTTTTATTGGAAATGTGTATTAAGTGTATTGCTGAGCTGATGCTTTGGGAGGGAGAGGAAGAAAGAGACAAGAGAGAAGACGGAAGACAGGAGACAGGAGAGAGAGGAGAGGGAACAGGAGAGAAGAGAGGCCCGATCCAACATTCTTCCAATTCTTCAACTGAAGTTCTTTGCTGAGAACTCTCAGGCAGCCTCTCATCCTCTTGTATTGAAACTATTCGCACTGAAATTTGAAATTCAGTGTGTTAATAAATACCCTGGGTGGATTAGTTTACTGAAACTTTGTGACGGCAGGCATGATACTTCTCATGTGCAAAATGAAGTTAATAGCAGCATTCCCAGCAGAGTTGCTGGGAGCAAATATATGCATTTGATACAAGTGACATGCTTAGACAAGCACTTGACACATAGGACATAATTAATAAACATTAGTTATTTATGATTAGTAGTACATTCTAAAGGTCCTAGGCCCCCTGGATTTTCCCTCTCACCAATTCCAAAGTTTGATCACGAAGAAGATGAATTAATTCACACATAAGAATTATTTAAGTGTTAAGAAAAAATAACCACCACCTCTACTAAATATAACTACATTCTTCAAAAAGGCATATTTATGTAGACCACAGACATAAAGTTATAATGATGCGTTTTCTACAGTGAATATCTTGGTGACTTAAATCCAATTAACATAATTTGAGAGACATAAATGGACCGACATAAGGAGCTGTTGAATTTTATGGAGTCCCTGGAGGATTATTTGGTAATTCCTTTGAGTTGGAATCTGTGACACACTAAAAGAATTCATAGAGTTCAATATTCAAACTATGTTTTCTTCCTGATTCAGCCAGGTTGAGCCATTTTGTGAGTAATTGTGCGTACTTACAAAGTTCTATTTAAAAAACAACTGCAAAAGTAGGTGGACACAATGTTCCCTATGTTGTAAAGGATTTATTACAAAAATATATACACACATATTTTGAAATGTTCACACAATATTCCAAATATCCAAGGCTTCTGGCCAACCAGTTTCAAACACAGACTTGCAGAATCCTCTGAACTTTTGTACGAAGTAAATAGCATTCTCAGAATCTTTTCTGCACTCTCATGATTGTGATGCCAAATTCATAGCCTTGCTATGTTTCTGGCATAAAATGAGAGAACTTACGTAATGTTTTTAAAAAATAGCACTTGAAAGGAATTATTTGGTAAAGAAAAACTGTTTGTAAAACTCCTGTCAAAAATCATATCCTCAAAAAAACTCTATTTATTGACTTTTCTTTTTTTAAAAAAGATATGATACAATTGCTCTTTAACAGCATTTTAATGAAAAATATGTGTCAACTTGGTGGGTGTCATACTGAATTTCTTAATCAAAACACTATGCATAAATTAAAGATGTGTTTTGACCACATCAAAAGAGAAGTAAATCAAGAGGCAATTAATCATATTCTACTGTTTTGGAAATGAATGTTTTCTTGCGAAAGGACACTAAGTTCTCTTTCTGAGACAAGACGCATAAGCAGGATATGGTGTTTCTTATTTTCCCTTAAGAAATCTTGGCTAAGTGGGGTAGTAATATTTAAAAAGCTGAATATCATCCAGTGTGAGAGTTAACATTATTAAAATTTCATTATTGCATTGAAAAAAAAGCATTGCTCATAGTGTGATGTGTATTTCAAACATTAACTGAATTAAAAAATATTATCTAGCACCATTGTAGACTTTTTATGAAATATGTATGTTTGATCATTTCTAATGTTTCTAGATTTAGTATCACAAAGACAATAGTGTCTTAACTAGCTTTTAATCAGCTTTGACCTATTTTCTGTAATAGTAAGTAACACTTTACAGTGCATTCTTTGTGAGAGTAAGTACTACTTAAATACTTCATATGCAGTAACTCATTTATTCTATACTACAAACTTATAAGACAGTCAAACAACATTACCTTATTTTATAGGTGAAGAAAATTAGAAATTCAGTAAACTCCCTCACATTGCAGAGCAGAAATTAGTAAATAAAAATTTGTAAACTTGGGAATCCAGTTCTTGATTCCATGTTCTTAATCTTTAAATACACTACTTCTCAAAAACTTTGAAACATTATTCTGGAAAATAGTTTCTTCAACTAATGACATTTAAAATTTTGTATCTGTATGTATTTCTATATCATAAGAAATGATACAATGCATATATTATTAGTCACTAAATTAGAGGTAAACTATACATAAATTTCTAAAAGAAATTAGAAAAATATAAACAATTGAAAATATCAAAATTTCTCTAAGATTTTATTTATTTGAGCAATTTTATATTCTATCATGAATTATTTTATAAAGAATAACTATTGGGAAAGATTAGATCTGACCTTGAAGACAAGCATAAATCTTATCAGCCCATTATCAGTGATAGCTCCTCTGGAAGCTGAACTAAGTAAGCGTTTCCTTCAGAAAAACACATACTTACATGCCAAATTTGCCTTACATTGTGTATTTTATTGCAATGCAAATTGATTTCCCTTGACTGAACAGAATTTTTAAAAGGATCTTGTGAAATAGTTTGATTTTCTATGTTATATATTAGTGTTCAAAATTTAAAGCACATTAGACAAGCAAACTTTTACTTTTGTAAAATCAAATTTCAAAAAATGAACGATATTTAGTTTAAAGCTAAAATTATACTACAATCTTTGACAAGTTGCTATGTATAATACCTTTAACATGAACTTTCTTTTTGCTGTTTTATTTTTAAAGCAATAATGCTTCTTCAATAGAAAGTTATAACTATTAGTTGAACCAGTCAAGTAAAAAGAGTTTAATATTTAGCTGCCCATAATGTACTTCTGTGATCTTATGATAAGGACATTTTTATCTTCATTTTATAATTGATAAAAATGAGGCTCAGGGAGAAACTTTCAGGAACCCATTTAGTGTTGATTTATGGAAAACACTGAATGTATGTGTTTTTTTTTTTTTTCCTTTTCTGGAAAGATAAGTATAATAACCTAGGGTGTGTTGTATGCCTGACACCAAGCCAAATATTTTCCATTCACTATTTCAGCTTCAAGGTAATTAGTATTATCATATTATACATATAGGAAAAATGAGTCTTTCAGAAGTAGACTTGCCCATGATCAGAACTAAGTGACTAGCAGAGCCTGGATCGAGGGTGGGAAATGCAGTGCTCTTTGGGAGTCTTGTCCTTCTCTTCCTCTTGCTGAGTATACCAGGACTGTAAAGACCTGATTATTGTTTAACCGGAACCATTTCTGTCTTTTTTTCCATTTTTTTAATTAATACATGTCTGGAATACATAGTGATTACATTTCTCCTGGGAAATTGATACTGGTATCTAACACAACATTCTTTCATCTCCTTTCCCTCCCTTCCTTCCTGATCCATTTCTTAGGATGGTTTATTCAGGTGCTGATTTCTAGAAAAGAAACAATATTGTGCACTTGGACAAAGAGGAGGCCAATTTATGCCTTGCTTTAGGAAATGGATACGTATTGAGGATGTACTCCTAAGTGAAATAAATAAGTCACACTTGTGTAAATACCGAATAGTTTCTCTGGTGTGAAACTATAATAGTACATAAGATCCTAATGAGATAACTGACAATGTGAAATAGGAAGAAAAGGCTAAAGGTGTAGGGAGAGTGGGAAGGGCAGGGGAAAGGTAATAAGGGAGAGAAAAAAATATGAGAAAATGAAAAAAATGGAAATAAAGTGTTTTTAAATCGGGAGAGGAGGAGGGAGTGAATGGAGGGCAGGGACAAGGGGAAAAAATGAGAACCAAGACCAATCATGTAAAGGTGCAGGATCCCAATGATGAATGTAACTGTACTGTGTACCTAGAATGTACCAATAAACTCAATTTAAAAAAATAAGTAAAGTAGTGGGTTCTCTTGACTCTGCTCTTTCCACCTA